CAATAACCAATTTCAATAATTGATCATTGCTTCATAGATAGGTGAAAAGTCCTTTCCATTTGTAACATGGATTTGAATTAACAGACCATATAATTATCTTCCTTATTTGCAAAAAATATATATTTTGGGGAGCCGATCAATAACCAATTCCAATAATTGATCATTGCTTCATAGATAGGTGAAAAGTCCTCTCCATCTGCAACATGGATTTCAATTAATAGATCATACAAATATCTTCCATATTCACAAGGCATACTGATCAATACTCAATTCCTCCCTGGCTTTCTAATAATTGATCTTTGCTTCCTATACAAGTGAAAAAGCTACCCAATTCCAATAATTATTGATCTTTGCTTCATATATATCAGTGAAGTCATCTCCATCCTCAACATGGATTTAAATATGACTTTTTTGCCGATCAATAACCAATTCCTCCCTGGTTTTCCAATATTTGAGCCTTGCTTCCTATATCCAAGTGAAAAGGCTATCCAATTCCAATAATTATTGATCTTTGCTTCATATCTTGGTGAAAAGTCCTCTCTATCAGCAACATAATAGACCATGCAAGTATCTGTTTTTTGGCTGATCAATAACCAATTCCAATAATTGATCCTTGCTCCATACCCAAGAATATCCAATTTCCAATAATGATCAATATTTGCTTCATATATAAATGAAAGGTCCTCTCCATTTGCAACAAGGATTTGAATTAATAGACTGTGCAAATATCTCTTTTTGCCGATCAATAACCAATTCCAATGATTGATCATTTCTGCATATACAGATGCAAAGACTCTGGCACAAACCAGTCAAGGTGGTCCCAGTGGTGATCGGCACACTGGGTGCAGGGCCTAAAGACCTTTTCTATCCGCAACTGAATTAATGCAAATTTTTAAAAAGTTTAGGTGATCAATAATCAATGCCTCCCTGTCTTTCCAATAATTGATCTTTGCTGTCGTGCAAGATTTGCAGGGATAGATCCATTTGCATTTGGGAAATTCGGCACAAAACCCGCAACCTAGATGTTATATTTCCCATATTTGCCCCGTTTTTGTGTCCCGTTTTGTGCCAAAAGTGGAGAGAAAAATAGTAATAATAATAATAATATTTTAAAATATGCGACACTTTTCTTGTTTTCAGGGGGAAATATCCCATGGCAAGCGGGTGTCAAAACAAACCGATCCGTGGCAAAGTGAGAGAGCGAAGTCGGGATGCAAATTTGTTTTTGTGTTGTTTCGTTTCCTTTTCACATGTTGTTCAACTCCAGTAAAGTTTGGTCCAGCATCTGGTGCATGTTGAGGTTCTCTTCTTTGGCGTGCGCCACTTTCTCTGCGTTTGCAAAGCAAGAAAGAAATGCAAAACATGGTCATTTAAAGCCGTACATCGATGCGCAAAAGGCAAGCAAAACAGCCAAAAGGAAATCGCAAACACACTACTTTGCTAATTGAGGCTTATGACGATAATAATAAAAATATAACAATCCCGAACAAATCCTGCCGTTATTAATCAGTTATTACAAATAGGTAACATTATTATGATTAATAATATGATGTAAAAATGTCAATGTTATGATAAAAAAAATTGCAATCGACCAGAACGCCACATGCACACAATGAACACGTTACACGGAAACCACACAACATACAAACATGTATTTGATAGGATCCAGGAGTTATCATTAAATAAGTCCCTTTAATGTATTGTCGAAGGCTTTCATGGCCGGAATCACTGGGTTGTTGTAGGTTTTTTCGGGCTAT